AAAAAAAAAAAAAAAAAAATTTAAAAAGCAACCTAAAATAATACGTGGTGATGATAAGAATCATCATCTTCAATGCCAAAACCCGGTCTGTGTTCAGGGCCACGACGTGGAGGCCTTGGAGATGCTCTCGGTCAGAGCAGGGAGATGCCCTGCTCCTAACAGTCAGCTTCAGACACTCTTCCCAGGAGGTTTTTCAACTGCACACCCCCAAATCAGCATGCCCCAACCCCAAGCGGGCTTTGCTTCCTCTTACCTCGCAGGCAGTGAGTGGCATTGACCTGCCCCGTCGCCCTGGCCCATCGCCTGCCGTTGGGACGGCCCCTCCCTGCTGCTCCCCAAACCTCCGTGTGTCACCGATCCTGTCATTCCTCTTGCACACCTTCCCCGCCCCAGCATCGACCTGCCACGCCTGGTGATACCTGTGTGATACCTGCCCTCTGGCCTTGGGCCCCCAGCCCAGCCTGCCCAGAGCTCCTGGGGCCCTGCCACCTCCTCACCCACGGTCAGCAAGGACGCGCTCAGAGCTCCCTGACCTGGTTCAGGGACCTCCACGGACTGGCCCCAGCACACAGTTAACTCCTGCACTGCCTGCTCCCCTGCCAACTGCAGCCACAGGACCTCTGCCCACTTGCTGCCCCCAGATCAAGCTGAGAACAGCCTTAGCACCAGAGTTCGACCCTTAGGAGGCATAAAGGCAAGGGAAAGGGGGGAGAAGATGTCAGTGAGTCAGGCGTCCTAACATCCTAAAAACCTCAATGGCTTCCGTCTGGACGCGGCCAGCAATGGGCAATTCACTGCCCCTCGCCACCCCCCAGAGCAGCCGCTCGCCTTCCGCCAGCTCTGAAATCCAGAGCTGAAGTCTGTCCTTGCCTGTGGTCTGAATTCGCCCCGCTCCCTGCCCCAGACCCCAGAGAGCAGTTGTGTGACGACCTTGACCTCAGCCCTCCTGGGTCTTCTCTCCCAACCCGAGCTCAGGGCACACAGCCTCCCCGTCCATTTGGCCAGAGCAGAAGCCTCTCATTCTCTCTCTCTCTCATCCCCTTGCTGGGAATGGAAACCGCCCCTCCTGCCTGCGGGCTGTGGGTTCCTTGCCACGTTTGTAATAAACTCTGCCCTCCCAGCTACTCCTGAGAGGGATGTCCCTCCAGATGTGACCTCTTGGCCACTCGTCTCTGGCCACCTGAAATCACAGCTCTACTGTCTGAGGCAAAGGATTAGCCAGCAGGATGGGACCTCTCCAATAGATCCCGCAGGGCATACCTGGCATTTAGGGATCGGGACATGAATGCTGGGACTACTGGGGGCTTGCTGGGGTCACGCAGCTGGCCCTGGTGCCGAAGGAGCTCCCTAGGCCCCCACAAGTCGGGTCAAGCTGCCCCAAGGCAGGCCCTTGTCTTAGTGCTCTCTGCCCTCTAACACCTTAACACTTGTTTCGCTTGGCTGATTATTTATGGGCAGGGTCATTAATCAAACATCCTCAGACTCGCAGGCAGGTAGGAAAGGAGGCGACATCCCAAGACAAACCTCCTGTATCTGTGTCATTAGGCAAAAAAAAAAAAAAGATTTAAAAAGATATGCTCTGCCTGGAGCAAGGGCAGCCACCCTCCTGAATATTCTAAGATCACCTGACCACCTGCCCTGAAAGGGATTTGGACTGAGGCGAGGGGAGGAGAAGGGGGTTGGGAACTCGCCCATGAGGAACCTGGAGGGCGGGGCTCGGGGAAGCCGAGCACTAGCGTGAGCAGAGGGGGGCGGTGGGAAGCGGGGTGCCTCAAGCCCAGGTCCCCATTCTTTACGTTTTACAGAGGAAAACGGAGGCAGAAAAGGCGGTTCTTAAGCTTTCCTGAGTCTCTAAAGTCGTTGACCACGTAATAGAAGTTCTGCACCTGTAATCAAGAAAGATGTACCTGCACATGTACCGCCTCTGCATACAATTTAAGGACCACTTAAACCTCCACAGAGTCCGTGGGACCCCAGGTTCTGAACCCTCGGAGGGATGGGAAGCCACAGAGATCGCGAGCGTGCTTTCCTGTCTGCACACCGTCCTAACCGGCGTATGCTCCGCTCGAGGATCCACCTGGTCCCTCGCCACTCTGAGAGCCCGTACCCTAGAAGGCCCATGTTGGGAAGAAACTGGGGTTTGCCTGGACAGTCCTGGTGTAATCCTATTACACCCCTTTTCCTATGAAGAGGGCCCTGGTTCAGATGATATCCACTAATGGTCACCCCAGAGGGAGGGAACCGTTCTGTTACCCAAGTCGGTGGGGTGGGGGAGGCCTCGTCCCCGCAGCAGCCAGACATCATCCTAGCAGAGAGGCCACTAATCCATAACTAGACCCAGCCGCCAGAGGACGGCAAGAGGTTTGTCCTCGCAGGATTCAAGTTTTGCATCCCCGAATTCACTGTTGTGTGACCACTACTCGCTGATGGCCCTTTTGAGTTTCCCCAAGACTTTAGTTTTGAGTCTGTTCATACGTCTTCCCTTTCTTTGCTTTGGTTTCCTGGAGTTCTCCTGTTTTTGCACTCTCTCTCTTGAATGACTCAGAAGATGTTTACTTGAAAGCTAGTTATACAAGCCACTTGAAGCATTTTCCCCAAAGCACATCCTATGAATAGAATAAACAAACCTCAATTCTAAAATGATACTTGAGTGCGTCCAAAATTACAGTGGTTAAACTGTAATTTTCATTGACAAAGACACAGCCACCCAGATATGCCGATTATTCCAAATTTCATCAAATCTGAATGGGAGTGGAAGGCCAGGCTCGGAATGGAATATTTCGCCCCGATGACCCTAACTGCAAAGTGTTCTCTTTCTGTTCCAAAGTGCTCAAACCGATGGAGCTGGAGAAGATGTCTGAAGGTTTGAAAAAGCCCTGGAAGAAACTGATGAGTGGTCCTCGGGAGACTGATGACGAACGGGCCAAGGTGAGACCCGACGTAGCCTCAGAAGAGGGAACGCCCCATGCCCTGGACCGAGAGACACAAGACACAGAAGCCCACGGCTTCATCCGAATTCAGAGAAACTCCATCTTCAATCGCTCCGCGAGACGCAGAAGCAAAGGCAAGGCCAGAGACGCTCCTGAACAGAACACCCGCCACCCGGCAGGTCAGTACCATGGGCCGCTGGCACAGCTGTCCCTTGACACGCAGGTGAAGCCATCAGGGCTGAAAGGCCCTGATGAAAATAAAGAAGAATAAGAGGCCTTGCAACCTAGCAAGGACAGGTCCATTAAAGGAAACATTTTGAAGTTGTTACCTAAAGAATTCAAATTCCCCCAAGATGATGATGAGGGTCCTTCAGGAGAAAGTGTTGACCCAAACTGTAAGATAAGACTGGCTTCTATCGAAAAGAGACAGCTTGCTCTAGGACTCAACAGAACACCCAGATGTGCATGCATCCCAGCAGGGAGGCTTGGAGCTGTCCACATTTGGGTGCGTCTGGGGACAGGAGTTTCCTGAGTGGTGACATCTCACCCTTGTTCTCTCACTGGTGCTGCGACGGCCAGAGCTCCTGCTGTCCTGGGAATATCTGAGATGAATACCTCGGGAATAGCTTTGCAGCTGGATTCCTTAATCTTTTAACCCAGCTCCTAGTATATCTGCCCGAAGTATATTTTATCTGCCCGAAGTGTATTTCTTGAGCAGAATGAAGCTCAGAAACTTTTACAAACGGGGGAGTTGTCAGAGCTACGACTGAAATACTATATTCGTGGAAGCTGGGTGAATGGTACATTATATTACTCTCTTGACTTTCGTGTGTGTTCGAAAATCTTAATAAATTAAAAGTTAGAAACGCACCCACACACAAAGGAAGTTAGAGTCTCTGCCCTTGAGGGACCCACAATATTGTGATGATGTCATTCTACTGCAAGTGATGCATCAAAGTTTACAAGAGAGGTAACGGCAAAAAACGAGACCCTTCTGGTGGGGTTAGGAAAGATTCGTCAAAGAAGATGATATTTTAGACGAGTCGTGAAGGGTGCATAAGGTCATGGCCAGAGAGAGAACAGGAGCTAACTTGGCTGAGCACTTGTAGGTACTCAGTGCTAAGGGTCCCCTTACTATCCCCATTTCACAGATTAAAAAAAAAAAAAACCCTGAAGCAAACAGAAATTGAGTCACTTACCCTAAATCACACAGCTAGTGCGTGGCCGGGCTTGAACTGGAGTTTAGATCCTTCTAGTCCCAAAGCCTGTGCATGGGGAGAAGGGGTTAGGGTGGCTCTCTCTAACAGAAATATAACGCAAGCCACATACATCACGTAAAATTTTCCAGGGGCCACATTTAAAAAGGAAAAAGAAATGGCTAATATTCATTTTAACATGTTAGTGAACACCATGCATCCAAAATATTATCGTTCTATCATGTAGTCAATAATCAATATAAAAAATTTGTAATAAGACATTTTGCATTTTTTTTGCACTCAGTCTTTAAAATCTGTTGAGTATTTTATACTTACGGCCCCTCGCAATTTGCATGCTCAGTTTTCACTGGAAATATTTGATCTGGATTTAGCTTTCATAAAATGTACAGTCAGAAAAAGATTTACATATCCAGATTGTTCCAAATATCCTTAAAAGTTTTCCAATAACTGAACTGAGTATCAGTTTTTACATTTCAATTTAAACTAATTTCAGTTTTAAAAACATGAAGAATTTACTTCCTGGGTCACACCAGCCACGTTTCAAATGCATAACGGCCACACGTGGCTGACAGTGGCCCAGGGATGGCACAGGGTTAGAGCATGACAAGCAGACAGAAAAGCAGATACGGCTGCCCAAGGCCAGGGGCCGGGGTCTTTCTGAGCAGAAGCAAAGGCGAGTATCTGAGGTGAGGCTGGAGAGGGGACCCAGGTCAGGGGGGAAAGAGTTTGTGGCTTCTCAAGCGCAGTCGGGAACCCTGACGCCCATGTAGACTGGAACAGGGTCACTTCACTTCTTGCCATCATCATAGCTGCCATTTACGTCCAGACCATAAGGTTTTCATCAGACTCAGAGTTGTATTTTTAAAATGACTCCCTGTTTCCCCTCCCTGCAGTTAACTCCTAAGACAGCCCAGAGCTTTCTGATCCAGAGTCCAAGGAGAAAACGCTCCCCCTGCTCTCGCCGGGGGAGCGCACAAGCCGGGCGCGTGGCGCGGGGCTTCTCCTCCCCTCCCACACAACAAAAGAAGGCTTGTGTTCCCAGTTCCCAGTTTGTGACTTAGATGTGCGAGGTCAGCTGAATGGGTGCCCTTTCAAAGTCACACCAGAACACTGACTGACCACCCACCTACCGGCGGTCTGACGCCCCAGGGGAGGGAACTTGGCTTATTTAATATCGATTAGGACTTGGCGAAGTGACGTGTTAAAAGATTGACACGTTGCAAATGATTTTTGTTCGGTAGAAACAGTAACACCAATGGTTCTGGTTTTACTGCCCTCTCAGACATTAACCAGGTTTGTATCTAAGTTTGCAATCCCATTTCCAATATTCTTTTTTCCACTGAGTGCATCTGCACGTGTGTGTGTGTGTGTGTGTGTGTGTACATGCATGTGAAGTTTCTTGCATCATAATTATAATTTTTGTAGAGATGGCGTGCCAGGTCACCAAATACGTGCAAGCCGTGGCAAATTCCCCTCCAGGGGCGTGACCGGAAGAAAGCCCTCTTCCCTCCTTCTTCCCTCCTGGGGTGAAGCTGCTACTATGCAGAGAGAATTGCCTGAAAGGGGGAAGATGCACGTTTTCTAGCTCTCTGCCTTTCTTAAATGTCACAGGTTCACTGGAAAATGCACAGTCTGTGGATAAGCCCCTGACCGTGAATGTCCCCCAGGGCAGAATGCCTCGGTGGAGAACCCCCGTACAGCCAGACCCGGGAGCCAAGAGAACAAGGTAAGAGAGGGCAAATCAGAGGAGGGGCCAGTTCATGACAAGATGTATCAGGACCGGTTGGTGCAAAGTACGGACAGCTGCAAGGATGTCTTATGTTTGTTTGTTTAAGTAACTTTTATTTGCCTGTGTTTAAAAAAAAACAAACTTCACCATCTCCTTTAAAAAAAAAATAACCCATTGTTACTCTTCCATCATAAAACTGGGAAATCGTAGACATTACTGATTTCGAGAAGTAGAAAAGGAAAATCCCTGTGTGGTGCCACCACCCAGAGAGGCTTTAATACGTTGTATCTGTTGCAAGGTGCTTTTTTCTGTATGTTTTATGACTATTTTCTCTTCATAAAGTAGGATCTTACTATATATCCTGTCTTCAAACCTACTTAATAGTGTATCACAAACCCTTCTGCATGTTACTAAATATTTTTCTACACAATTATTCAATGGCTATAAAGTAATCTACAGTATGATAGGATTATAATTCATTAATCATGTTATGGTTGTTGGATGTTTGGGGATTGTAGCAGCTAGGACTAAATTTAGCTGCTTGTAACCAAAAAACACAGCTTAGAATGACAGAGATCTATTTGACTCTTGAGTGAAAGAAGCCTGGGGGGTTGTGACAGCAACTACTTCATGCCTTCAGCTATCAAGGTGACTGCCAGAGCTCCGGCCATCACAGCCATAGTTCAGATGGCAGGAAGAAGAAAAGCAGAGGGTGGTGGGGACTCGTGGTGGCCTACTCTGTTCTCCTCTTATGGAGCTTCCCTGAAGCCCACTCAACTACTGGTGCTTACATCTCATTGGCCCAAACTGACTGGGTCACACGGCCACCTCCATTTGCGCGCCAGGAAAGCCGGGAAATGTATCTCTTTCAAACCAGGTCTGTTTCCACCTCCGGAAATTGGCTCCACACCAAGGAATAAAAGAGAATGGATACGGGGGGAGGCAACAGCACTCTCCGACCCAAGGGAGTTCCAATTTTTTGCTGGTCTATAAGCCACACTATGAGAAATATCGTCGTGGCAAAATCCTGACACCCATTCCTCCTTATTTCCTTAAGTTCTTAGAAACTTCGCACCTTCTACAAATCCCTGGTTACAGGGAAGTCGTGTTCCCATATTTGTGCTGGGGAAGTACGGGATAGACATCCTGTCGCAGAAACAGGTGGTGGGCATTCTTTTGCTCCCTGACACGGCTTTGACCGCAGGCCCTTGATTATACATATAATCATTTAAATACATAACTTAATAAAAAATATATATACGGACCTATTTCACTTACACGTAATTATATAATAAAGGCAGCTGACTCCTGTTGCCTCTGTTCTGGCTTAAGAGCCAAAGAACGACACCGTAAATATCTTCCCACCCACACAGGACGCTCTACAGATGGTGGCGGAAGTCACTCTTAGCTCGTCCCTCTTGTCCAGGGGTCAGCAGGAGTGACAGTACAAATATTTCACAAGCAGGACCCAACACTGCTGTCCCAGGGGAGTAGCGAAAAGGGAAAGGACTCAGGACATGGCTATTTCCCAAGCAGCACACAAATGTTTCCATATTTTCACAATCAATAAAAAAGAGGGTGAGGCTAAGGAGACTGGTTGCCGGGCTTTGTTTTTGCTGGGGGATCATTGTCAGAGTTCTGGGAGCTGCCCACACCTTCCCACGGGGGTTCCCCCTTGTAGTTGCTGGGGCTCCCTGGAGAGACAGAGCCAGCAGGATGTGGAGAGAGAGGGTGGGGGACGTTCCATGTAAGGAACTGGTTCACAGTTGTGGAGGCTTGATGAGTGCAGAATCCGCTCGGTGAGTCTGGGGCCGGAGACTCAGGGAAGAGCCACAGTCGGAGTCCAGAGGAGGCCCGCCGCACAATTCCTTTTTGCTCTGTGAGGTTACTTAGTCTTTGTTCTATTAAGACCTTCAACTGTTTAGATGAGGCCCACCCACATTATGGAGGATAAACTGCTTTGCTCAAAGTCCACTGACTTAAGTGTTCATCTCAAAAGACATCTTCACAGAAACACCCAGAATGATATTTGACCAAATATCTAGGCACCATGGCCCAGCCAAGTTGACACCTGAAATTAACGATCATATCCCCCATTTTCACCCTAGTGAGGGGGGTTTCAAGAGATCTCTGT